GGGACACTGACACCTGCCCCCCTTCACCTCCCCACTGCTGCGGGGGGCTGGACGAGATGGCCCTCAAGGGTCCCTTCCCACCCACTCTGTGGCTCTCAGGCCTTACAATGTGTCGAGCTTCATGTTACAAACCCAGTACAAACCAGAGCCCTACCTGGATGACGAGCTGCTGGTCGGGGGTCCCCCACTCCCAAGCAGACTGGCCAGCCCGGGTCCCGTCAGTGCACCCAGCCCACCTTCCATAAATACAAAAGAATGACAGGTTTAGAGATTTATTTCTTCAGGCTGTTATTTTTGTACCTCTCTGCTCTAGAGAGGTCACTCTTGTACCTGAAAGGTTTTGTTTGCTAAAACAGAGGAGGGGGTGAAAGCCCAGACCAACCCCCCACCTGTCTGTAAGTTAACAGCTCTCCTTCTCTGCTCTCACACTCCCATCAGAAAACTGCCCTGCAGAGCTGCACGCTGAGAAGTGACCCTGTTACTAGAGGTACACAAGGATGGACTGACTTGGGTTTGAGCCACACGTTCATGACCACTGTAACACAGCCCTCTCCCCTTACCTACTCATCCCCCAAAACCTAACTTCTCTCTCAAGCTTAAAACCCAGGCCCTCAGCAGAAGATGCAGAGGCAGCCTTGAGTCACCACCACGGTCTCCTGCATCCACCTGGGTTTTGCAGCTTCAGAGCTAACACAGAGATGCAGCAGCAAAATCAGCCAAATCCTTAAACACCTCCCAGGTAGAGCCAAGTCAGGACAACCCCGTGCACAACTAACATGCTCCATCAGAGCAGTCATCAGGACACCAACACCCAGCCTTTGAGCCAACTGCCATACGCAGAAGAAATCAGAATCAGCCTCCTTCATCCACACATCCCAGCTACAAAGGGCTTATCACAGCATCAAGAACAACAGCCAAAAAGAGGGAGGAAAAGTTTGGCTTCAAGGCCCACTGGAACTGTCAGTGACTGACAATTCCTGCAGTTCCTTCAGGCCACATCAGCCAAACCCTCCAGGTTCCACACGCTTCCCAGCCAGCGCATCCTCGTACCACATCTGACTAGATAACACGGCCCTACACAAGCACCTGCATTCACCACCCACCTTTTGGGAACTACCTATCTGCAAGCAGAGGCCAGAAGGCCAGCAAACATGGGTAACTGAAGCTGCAGGAGGCTGGAGCACACACCAGCCACTGTCACACAGTGACTGCTGCAGCAGGGTGCAGCCAACCCGTCTGCCCCACACGCTGCTCTGCTCCGTCCCTGCCAGGGAAGTTTAGCCAGGAGCAAGAAAGCTCCTTTGCTGCAGGAGCTCTGCAATAAAAGCAGAGTCCTGAGAGAGATGGAAAGGAGCCAGGTGCTGCTAGGGGAGGATCTGCACGGATCCAGCCCCACAGCCTCTGCTGGGACACCAGGTGGGTTCCCCTGCGCTGCTGCAGCGAGCTCCAAGGCACGCTGCCAAAGGCAAAGAGAAGAGCTGCTGAGGAAAAGTGTGGAGAAGAAGAGAAGGACAGTCTCGGGAGTCATGTGAAGCTTCAAGAAGGAAGATCTTTTCCAAACACGTCCTAAAAAGACAGAGTTGTCCAACACTAGCACAAGACTTGCATCAGAAGCTAAAATGTCACGAGCGAGATCCACAAAAACAGACTTTGGAGCTTAAGCCCTGAACCTCAGCCCCTGCCACACGTTCCTTTGCCTGCTTCCACTCGAGGCTCAGATCTCTCAGAAAGACTCTCTGTTGGGCCTAGAGCACAGCCAGCGTTAAGAACAGAGCACAGCAGGGGCTCCAGCACACCCTCACCCCTCAAACCACAGCAATCCGGGCTCTCCCGGTGCCGCCCAGGAGGGGAAGCCCTGGCCTGGCCTCGCTCCCCTGAGCGGTGTGCTGGGGGGCAAGGGTGCTCCAGCCTTCCTCTGGGACTCTTTCTACTCTGCACACAAATATTCACTGGGTCAGAGACCACACGAGCAACTTCACAGCCTGGTAACAGGCACAGGTACCAGAGAGGAGTGCCTGGTTTCCAGTCCCTGCTCCAGTGAATATTGAGGAGGAAGAGGAGGGGTGGAAAAAGGAAGGGGAGGAGAGAAAAAAAAAAAAAGAGAGAGAAGACTGAGTGAAGCAAGGGGCAGAACCAATGTTCCCTGCAGACCAAGCTGTACAGAACCTGGTACCCTTCATTTCCTGCCTCCTTTTTCTGCCCCTTAGCTCCTCTCTGAGGCAGGGCCTTGCTGTCTCACCGGAAAGCAGCAACATCAACAGCACTGCCTGAAAATATTGTCAGGTAAGATTTAACCTGGCAGGAAAAAATACCATTTTGGCATAAAGATATTAAAGCATTTTACCAAGTCCTCCTAAGCCCGTTGGTCCGATCAGCTGCATGAGCTGGTTATGGCTCATGTTTCCAAGAAGGCTTTGCAAGCCACCCTCACCTAAAAACAAAAACATTCTGAAACACAACATATGCACAGAGGTTTGTTTTTTATTTTTTTCACAGCACTCCAGCTCAAACGGCAGGAGATTAATTGGCATCACATTCTGTATGGAGAAAACAGTTTCAAGTGTTTACTGATTCATGACGCTCATAAAAGATAAATGCAACTTGGCTTCATAAAGAGGTAAGACTCCAGAGAATCTACTGGAAACAAAGGGAGATTTCTTCTGGCAGCCTTAACTTCCAGCCTGCACCTATTATAACAGCACAGTTTATTTTGCTAAAAGCACGTTTACAGTTCTGGCATTACCACTGTCCCCAACTCACCCTCCACAGCCATCAGGAATTTCTGCCTAGGGAACTACAAGTGCTTATTCTAAAAATATTTTTGTTTTTAAAAAAAAAAAGCCTCCCAGATGTAGGAGCAGAGAATGGACTGTACCTCCTAAGGCCGAGAGCTCGTGGCCTCCACTGGCATTGCCCCCCAAAGCCCCAGGCATGGGTGGGTTGTTGAGATACTCGTTCACCTTACGGCAGTGCTCCTCATCCTTGTCCGTCTTCGGCTCCTGCAAGAAAGCTGCTCTTGGTACCAGCCAAACTGGGAGCTCTTTGTTCCCAGATCTTTGTTACTGACTTCCCACAAACCTGCATCCAGAAGAAGAGGCGTTTTGATCCTGCCTTGAACTTCAATACATACACACGGCCCGTAGTGCACTGAGGGACCCTCTTGAACTCACAGTCATCAGGAAAGATAATCAAATCCTGGAAAATGTAGCAGTAGGAACAAGTGTTTGAGAAAAGGCATGAATATTCCTTTTAGCCTCCCAAAGACCTAAGCTCTCCTCCCCAGGTCTTTCTCCATCTGCCCCAAGGAGCAGAGAGGATTTGGAAGTTTGGGTCTGAGAGGCCACAGTGACATTCTCATCCTAATTTTCCTTGAGGAAGCTCCTTCAGCAGCACCAGCAGGACAAGAAGACAGAGTACAACTTAACACCTCAGCACTGAGACACAAACCCATACTTACATCCTCAACATTGCCTGAAGTCCTGTCCTTCCAGCAGAAGTGAATGAGGGAATCGTCAGTTTGCTGGATGTACACGAGGCCTTTTCTCTTGTCTGGAGTGACAGTGCTGCCTTTCAGGGACATCTTCCCTGCTCGAAATTCCACCAGGTACTTGCTCGAAGAGCCACGGGAGCCTGGCACCAGGCTTGGAAATAACGCCCCCGAAGACATCCTGGAAGGAAAACGGGGCAGACGTGATGAGAAACCTTCCTGTATTCTCCCTTCTCACTGTCACATTTCAGCCTTTATCGAGTGAGCTCCACAAAAGAGATCTGTCTCACGGCCTGCAGAATTACAGGGTGATGCAGAAGAGCTAAAGAGGAACCCAGGAAGAAGACGGGACGCTCCACAGATCCCTGCTGATGAAGAAGAGCTTATCTGCTAAGGAACCTGCAAATTAAACCCCCTGAGACTTCACTCGTTGGCTCTTATCACCGTTCCCAGGGGAAGGGACGTGGGAATTGCAGGCAGCCCTATCCTCACACCGACCTCGGGCTCCCGCTGCGGCCTCTCAGCAGAGGCGCAGGCCGCGCTGTGCCGGC